CTTAGGAAAAATCGCTGCTAGGGTTGTTCTATTTCACGTTAAGTTTTGAGAAACAAAGGTGTTTTATTTTTTTATCTCCTTTTACAATTTTAATAAGTAATGGACCTTTTGGCGCCAAGTTTTGGTGAAAATAGATTTTTTTTTAACATTTCAGTACTTTCCCTCCTTAATAAATTTCTCAAGACCCCTAAATTTTATATTGGGACCAGTTTATACTTTCTCTAGAGACCACATTTAGTACCTTCACAATAACACAAGAAATTAAAGACCGGATTAAAATCTCGTCCCAATACATTCACCTTTAAAGACGAGATTATTAACTCGTCTCTAAATATTGGTCTTAAATAAAGCTTTTTCTTGTAGTGATACTATAACATATATTTTCTGAATTAATAATCACATGCAACGCACGTGTCGAAAACTAGTATATATATATATATAGAAGCAGAGCTAATGAATTAACTTGGCAGTTACATTCAAGGTAGGGATTTTATATATATGCATACAATATATACCTTCTACTTCGATCATACTTGGCTACTAACACAACACTTACATTCAAGGTAGGACTAACTTCCACTATCCATACTAGGCACTAAGAATAATAGTATACATGCTAAAGAACAAGTAACTGATCTGACTAAAGCCTCATTTATTTTCATTAACATCAAGACGTTTAAAGCTGAAGTTGGTCTTCTAATAAACAACACAGTTGTCATAGTCACAACCATTATCACTGTCAACCACTATTGTTATTATCACCGCTACAAAACCATTGTAGCTATCGCTACACCACCTTCAAGAACAGCTCGTCCAGTGTCGGCCAAACCAACGATATTCCTCTCTCTTAATCCGCGGGCCCCACTACCTGCAGCCATTTCGACATCGCCTCCTCCTTTATCCTTATTATCTCGATGGCGTTTGTAGCGCCATATGGCGCACGAAATGATCGAAGTAGGCATCACTACAACGCAGAATACGATCGCAAAATTGGTTAAGTCTCCCATAGTACAAAATATGGTCGTCAACTATTTTAGAGGCTATTTATAGCCAGTCATCGACCAATTGCGATATTATATTTTCCTCCTTGACCAAGCTCATAGCCTATAGGATTAAATTTTTTATGTACTCAAGTTGTAATTTATATATAATCCTTAAATCAAATCATCAACGCTTACTTTGGAACTTATATTTTAATATATTTTTAGTTCCTTTGAAATTTAGTATCATGAATTTATATATTGATATCTGAGCTCATATTTTGTCCTAGTAGATACTTGACATAAAATCATCTAATTAATCTATAATTTAAGTACCTTTCTTTCCAATTCTAAAGGGTAACCTTGAATTCCAAATTGGATTGATTAGTTTATTCCAAAACTCAATTTCTTATAAGTTTGGTGTACTGCAATAACAATATATTCGATGTAATAATTCACAAAAGGTCTTCAATACAAATATAGAACAGTAGAAAATCAAAACAAAATATTCACAATTGAGTGATTTTTCAAAATTACAAATCAATTCGAGTTAACCACAACCACCTCCGCAACCGCCACAACCACCACAACCACCGCCGCCATCACCACCACCGCAACAACAACCATTGTACACAACAACATTTGTAGTAGTGCCGGTTCCAGTCGCTGCCACTGCACCACCGGCACCAGTCAAAGCAAGTAATTTCATTTCCCTGTCTCTTAATTTGCGGGCTTTTAATTCACGAGCTTTTAATTCGCTGGCCCAGTTATCCATTTCCACATCGACTCCTCCTTTTTCCTAATCCTTATTGCGCATGCGACGATAAATTTTGTAAGAAATAACCGAAATAGGTATCATAAGAACGCCAAATATGATCCCTAAAATGAGTCCGTTCATCGTAAATATGCTTAACAACTATTTTAATTAGAGGCTATTTATAAGAAGCCACCGACCGATTACGATATTATTATTTTTCCTCTTCATAGACCATATGATAAATTTTTTATATGTACTAAAGTTGCACATTTTTTGGCTCTTTATGGTACTTAAAACAAATCGCCAACGCTCCTTCATTCATTTTTAGTTCCTTTGAATCAAGGGGTATCATGAATTATTCTTTATAATTTAAGTAGCTTCCTTTTTAATTCGATTTGCGTGTCAGCCAAATAATTAATCTAGTTGGTGATGGTCGATGGAAGCCTAAAAATAGAATATGTTATCTCTAATTAGGATGTGTTTGGTATGAATGAAAATGTTTTGCACGGAAAATATTTTCTTGGAAAGTAAGTGAGTCCTCTTGGGCTCTTACTTATTTTATAGTGTTTGGTAAGTAAACAAGAAAATATATCATCCCAAGAGCATTTATATGTTATGTAGCAAAACGTTACAAAGGCGGATAGGAATGAGAAATGGGATTTTGGGGTGGCAGGGGATGATAGTTAAATGTGTGTGTGGGGAGGGGGCGACAATAATAAACTTGGAACTCACTTATGCAACTTGTTTTCCCTACTTCTATTAGAAAAGTCATTTTCCTCATTTTTAAGGAACTTGTTTTCCTAGAGAAATATTTTCCAAAAGTTTAAATCTAACTAGAAAAACTGAATAATGTTTGCCTCGGTGCCAAACACACCGTTAGTCATCGTACAATATCCAAGGAAAAAGGAAGACCTAATCTTTGATTTAATGGTACTGTTTGAATTTTCTAAGTCAATATTTATGGTTGACCTTGTTCTTGGATATATGAACAATTTTTTTTTTTTTGGAGTAATTACATAATCAAAATGATTACGTGCATACAGAGTGAAAGACTAAGTGAATATCAATGAATGACACGCATATGACTTAAAACCTTATCATAAATATTAACTATTAATAACAGCAAGTTTAATTTTACTTGAAAAGTTGTAAGAGTATTCTTTGATAATTGAGACATAATTTTTAACTTCTCGAAAATTTGACCAAACATATTATAGGATACATAAAATGAAAAGAAGACAATAGTATACATACCCACCTACATAAAGTTAATTATCGCTAAATATTTTTATAATGATATTAAAAGAAAATCATTATTACTAAATGTCTTTTTTTGTTATAGTAACTCTTCGCAAAGTTGTAAGCACGTCTTGATAGGGTCAAAGGCGGATATGGGTTATCTAAATCTATTACTTTTGGCGTGTAGTAATTAATATAATTCTATGTTGACAAATCACAAAAATTGAGATGATAAAAAATAGGAATATAAACTCATAACATTAAAAATATAAACCTATTACACATAGTACGAGATCAGAGAAAAGAAAGATTGCATATTTTATTTTAAGGCTATTTCATCACCGACTAGCTTAATTATTTTGCTGACATACACGAAATCTAATAGGAAAGAAAGGTACATACGTAGTACTTAAATGTACTTTAATAAACTAAATTTGATTAAGTACATTGATTGATAAATTAATCGCATGTCAAACATTTGCCATGTCAAATATGAGCTCGAATTCAGGAACTTAAAAAAAATGAAAAGTAAAATTCCGTGATAGCGCTGGTGATTTGATTTTAGGATTATATATGAGAACCAAAAAATATTACAACTTGAGTACATAAATAATTATTCCTATATATGGGCTATTGAAGAGGAAAAAATAATGTCGTAATAATTGGTCTGTTTGTCCAACTATTTTTTAGTTCGTTCAAAAGTTGATACATTTTTTTTAGTTTTGATAGCTTTTTAATTTCAATTTTTCATTGTAATATGTTTAATTAATATCATAAGATTAAGGGTAGTGAGACATTTGACATATCTTTATTTGAGGATTATGAGATTCAATTTTTTTTAGTTTCTTAAATTAACGTGTCAAATCAACAAATAAATTAAAATGGATTGGAGAAAAAACTACTCTACAAGCACCTACGATTTGTAAGTTTTTGAGATAAATTGATAATAACTCACTCAATATCATGCTTAAGGTAAGGAGAGGTGAAGTGAACCAGAATTTGAAGACTTTGGGTGTATTAATATTATCTTATATAATTTTAAAATAAAAATAATGATGTAGCGCTCAAGCTGGATGAAATTTAATTCATGTGTCGCACATTATATACATCCTAAAAAAAAGAAGATGTCCTAACACGGTAGGAAAAGAGACAATTAGTAATAATGTTTTTTTCTTTTATATTGTCGCAAAAATATTTAGCGGCAACTGAGTTAATATTAATGCATTCAAAATTACCAAATCGTCTACCGGCATTTATATAAACTGCAAAACCACGGTTTCTAGTGTGCCCGGTGGGTGTCGCCGTAGATTAACCACGATTTTAGTTTTTGTGGCAACATTTAGTAGCCACGATTAGTGCAAATTACCTACGGTCACTTCGTGGGTAAATCTGACTCTGAAAAAAAAACTAAAAATAACCTATGTTAATATTACATTTAAAAATATCCATCAAACGTCAACACGCGGTTACATATACTAGTATATACAGAGGGTGGAGCTAGGGTTAAGAGTTTGGGGGTTCTAAATTTCATTTTTTTGGGTTAAGAGTTTGGAGGTTCTAAATTTCATTTTTTTTTAAAAAGAGAGGGGATTTGAACCCACAACTCTAGCATAAGAAACATTTCCACAGTCCATCGTCTCATACCACCGGATTGTCCATCAATTTTGTTAAGGGTACACAAGTTATATATATATATATATATATTTAATTTTTTAGTACAAATGCAAGGTCTACATACATATATATATATATATATATATATATTTAATTTTTTAGTACAAATGCAAGGTCTACATACATATATATATATATATATATTTAATTTTTTAGTACAAATGCAAGGTCTACAGAAAAGCTACTAGCTAGGTTCGTCCAAACCTACAAATTAAACCCTCACTTCATAACAGTAGGGAAAAAAACTTCATACATATATATGATCTCACTATGGTTCCAAGAGTTTTACAAGTGATCAATCAACACTATGGGGTCACAAAAAGTTCACAACTACCCGTCAAGACTGCATATTAATCTCCACAACCACCACAGCCTCCACCATCATCACCGCCACCACCACAACAACTGCCACCGTCACAACCACCGCAACAGCAACCCTGGTAAGTCCCAGTTGCTCCTCCACCACTATTGTTATTATCAACCACTGTCGCTGCCGCTGCACCACCATTGCCACCGTCCAAAACAACCATATTCTCGTCTCTTAATCTGCTTGCACCACTACCTATTTCGACGTCGCTTTCGTTGTTCTCTTTATTGTGGTGGAAATAGCAGCAAGCCCCAATGACAATAAGGATAATGGGTATCTCACAAAGGCCGAATATGATCCAAAAAATGGAGTCCATAGTAATTATGCTTGTCAACAATTTCAGACAGTTATATATAGGAATTACTTTTCATATATTCAAGTAGTAATATTTTCTTGGCCTCTTATATATAAATCTGAGCTCATATTTGACATGGCAAATGTTTGACATGAGATAAGTATATTAATCTAAGTACTACTTCCTTTCCTTCCAATTCGATTTGCGTGTCAGCCAAACAATAAGCTAGTTGATGATGGAACCCTAAAAAAACATTACGCGGTGTGGTTTACTAGTTAATAATAGAGGTTGAGCATCATAAGGTCTCAGGTTCAATTTTCAATATAGATAAAAACACTGGATGATTTCTTCCTATTTCTTTTATCCTTAGTAGACATAGTTATGTTATATTTGTTGATTGTAGAAGGTATTGAATATCTCATAAAATTAATCAATCTCATATTTACAACTAAATTAATCCTATTCGCCATTTCTAATATACAACGACAACTTGGTTCACAACATAACTATCTTCCGGCCATATAATTAAAAAAAACAAACTAATTTCACAAACAAAACTTTATGATAATTAATAGCCGTCAAAAAGTGAACAAAAAATACTATTTGCGCTTCCCCCAACTCCTAAAAAAGGAGGGGGGGGGGGGGGAGAAGGGAAAATCAAGAAAGGAAGGGGGGAAAAGGGTCTATAATGCACATTAATTCATAATGGAGTTCTCAATAAGGTTATCAAACACTAAAATATCTAAACGAAAAATTCACAACTACAGTAATTCATAACTGAGTTCTCAATACGGATATCAATTTTGACGTTGTCATTTAACTTTTTTGCATGTGTAATTGTGTACTCACTTCGAAACGACCTCAATCGTATGACTTAGAAGTTAGTCTTCATAAAATTTAGCTTGTGTTTAAAGTTTCATATCAGACACAAATAGCTGAACTTTAGTATTATTACCTCACCTTTGTCATGTTTATCAAAAATTCATGCACTTATGATTAAGTTCAAATTTAAAAAATTTCCAGTTCAATTACCAGATGGGCAACAGTTGGTTCAAGCATTTTACATGTCCACAAGTCCTAACACCTTTTTCACCTGATAAATAACTATTTTTCTGCCGTACAATTAAAAAATCGACTATTTCACAAGTAAGTAAAATTTCATGATAAATAACATCAAAAAGTAATTTAGTGAACACTAGCTATTTTCGCTGTGCCCAAATCCTAGAATGAAAAAAAACTTATTTCCACATCCCCTCGTTCTCTATTCTTCTCTTGGCGCAGCATGCGCCGCACACAATAAACAAAATGGGGAACACAAAAATGAAGAGGAAGGGCACAACAATGATTGGGTCCATAGTAAATATGGTTATCAACTATTTTAGGGGTTATTTATAGGAAGCCACCGACCAGTATCGATATTTTTTTAAAAGGTATAAATTTCAAATTCATTATAATACCTACTCCAACCTTTTTTTATTGAGTTGACCATGATTAGGACTTAGGAGTATACATGAATTGTTCTATTGAAACTGAGCTCATGTTAGCCCTAGTGGATGCTTGCACTTAAAGATATTTTTGTTAATATATGATTTAAGTACCTCATTTCATTCCAAGTCAACAGAAAAAAATTGACATTATAAAATAAGAGAATCTAGTTTAATTTTTTTTTTTATCAAGTCGATGTAGGCATATATTAAAAGATTATGTTCCTACAAATTCTTTAGCCAAAAAAAATAGGCGTATTGTACTTAAATTCCAAATAATTTTTTTCATTATTTACGATTGAATTTGTCTTATTCACCAATTTTAATACAGACCCTTACAAAGTCATCAATATGAAGTTTCGTTTAAGTAGTGTTCGCTTTCAGTATTTCTATTCTACCTTCTATTTTTGTTATATTATTATTTAGATATGTATATCTAATAAAAAAAAATAATGAATCAACGTAACACTTCTCGTATTAAAATAAATTCGTGTTCAATATATGCACGATAGAAAATCGAAACAAAAAATTCACAACTAGTACCCTTATCAAAAGTGCAAATTAATCTCCACATCCACCACAACCCGCGCAACCACCCCCATCACCATCACCGCAACAACAACCCTGGTACGTACCAACAACTCTCGCGGTGGCTTCTCCGGCCCCAGCCAAAACAACGATATTCCCATCTCTTTGTTCTGAGGCCGGAGTAGCCATTTCGACATCACCTCCTCCTTCATCCGTATCTGTCTCGCGTTTGATTCTGCATATGAGACACAAAAACAACGAAATGACTATTGAAAGAAGCCCAAATGAGAACCACAAAAACGTTAAGTCCATACTAAATATAGTTGAAAACTATATGTTTTACATTTTAGAGGCTATTTATTGCAAGCCACTATTATTTTTTCCTCTCTGACGTATACTTCATAGGGCATATAGAAATATTTTTTATGTACTCAAGTTGTAATATTTTTTGTTTTTCATATATAATGTTTTAAATCAATTCACCAGCGCTTACTTTGGAACTTTAATTTATCATTTCATTTTTAGTTCCTTTCAAGTCTAGGAGTATCATGAATTGTTCTATGATGAATCTGAGTTAATATAATTGGCCTGGAAGATGTTTGACTTAACATCATTTAATTAATTTATGAATTTTAGTACCTTTCTTTCGACCAAAAAGATGTTAAGGAAATATGTGGATGAAATTTTATCTATGTGTCGCACACTATATATATCCTGCAAAAAAGATGTCCTAATTAACACGGTAGGAAAAGAGATATTTTGTGGCAATAAAATTTCTTTATATATATTGCTACATAAATATTTAGCGACAATTGAGTTAATGTTATTGCATTTAGAGTTGTTAAATGAAAGTCATTTAGTGACATTTGTATACTGTAAAATAAAAATAAAAATAGTGTTTATCATCCGAGCAACTCACTCTTGTCGTTTTATTTTGATGGTTGATACTTTTTCCTTTTAATTAAGTTTTGCTTCAATTTGGAAATATAATTTTAGGCTTGTGAGATTTATTTTCTAGTTCAAGGAGGATAAATATACATGGGCCTATATATTATTTATTTTATTATATTTTATGTGGCATAGATGAAATTTGAAGAGTCACTCAATTTTTTAATATATATTTTGTAAAAAAAATAATTTTCTAATTACTGTAACTTATAAAATTGACATAATTTTTAAATAATATGCTATTTTCTCTGTCCCAATTCATGTGGCACGGATAAAATTTGAAGAGTTTTATTTGTGGTACTTTTAATTTTTCAAATTCAATGACATGTTTTTTACTAATAATATTAACATTAGAAATAAAAAAGTGATTTACAGATAAAAGATAGAGAAATAAAATAGTTAAACGTATTACTTATTAAGCAGTACTTCTTTGGTATGTTTTTTTTATTTTTATATTTACCTATGTAAATAAGGTTTTTTTAAATAATAATAATATTTTTAACTATATAAAACAAAATATTTTTGATGACATTTAAAAATTAAAAATATTTTTATGTAAGAGTGAAGATGGAATAACTAAAATATGAATACGAAATATATTTACGTAATACAAAATAATTAACACTAAATTAGATAAATGATGAAACATATGTTGCTTGGGTTTGATCTTGGGACCATATGCATGAATTGTCATGCTGCAACCAGTAAGCCTAAGCAGCTAAATATGAGGAAGAGCACATAGCTGAAGCAAACATGTAGACGGCCGCTCTAGCCTCTTCTATATATTAAGTATTAGTAATATAGGTATATAACAATAAATTCACAACTAGCCGCAACCACCTCCACAACCGCCGCCACAACCGCCGCCATCACCATCACCACCACCGCTACAACAACAATCAGCGCCACCATTATCACCAACATCATCACCGCCACTGTCATCACCACCGCAAAAACAATCTATCAGCATCTCTAGTACTGCTGATTCCGGTTGCTGCTCCACTACCACCCCCTTGTTCCTATCCCCGCTACCAACCACTGTTGCTGCCGCTGCACCACCGGCGCCGACATCTTCTCCAGCGCCAGCCAAAACAACCAAGTTCCCGTCCTTCAATTCGCCGGCCCCACTACCCATTTCGACATCGCCTCCTCGAGCTTTATCCTTATGCTTCTGCCGTTTGGCACGGTGTTTGGCGCGGCAGTTGCCGCACAAAATGATCAAAATGGGGAACAGAATAACGCCGATTATGGGCGGAATAATGGAGATTAAGTCCATGCTTAATATGCTTGCTTCAAAACTATTTTAATTAGAGGCTATTTATAGCAAGCTAACGACCAATTATAATATTCTATCCGTTTCAATTTGTTTGTCTAAACTTCATGACTTGACACCAAATTTAAGAAAATAAAGTATACTTTTTTTATGTTAAATTATAGATATGTAGAATGTTTCAAAGTATCTTTAGTTTAAAATGAGTGTGGACAAGTAAACACTTAAACGTATATAAAGTTGTACAAATAGATACACGCATCTTATATGATAATTTGAGTTGTGGCGTCCTACGTGTATTATGTACGTAATTATAGGGCATAAATATGAAATAAAGCCAAATTAAAAGACATATTTATGTATTATGCATTTTTTTAACATAAGAAAAGCAAAAGTAAGATAAACCATATTAAGACGGGAGAGTATTATTTTTTCCTCTCTGACGAACTTCACAACCCATATGATTATTATTTTTATGTACTCAAGTTGTAATGTTTTTGTCTCTTCATAATCTTTAAAACAAATCACCAGCGCTTACTTTGGAGCTTTTCATTTTATATATTTTTAGTGCCTTTAGAAATCCAGGAGTATCATGATATATTTGATAATAAAAAATATTATATCGAGCAATATTTTATTTTGATAAAGACAATATTTGATGTCTCGATCTCTGTGAGATATTTGACTTGTCTCGCCAAAAAATTATAGTATCTCTTTTTATAAGCATGTTTAGAATAGAATAGTTTCCTAGTAGATCTTAGGGTTTAAAAAACTTTGTATTTGTATTAACATATTTATTGAATTAAAGAACATGTACAAAATATATTACTACTTGATTATTGTTTTTTTATGTAGTCACGTATTAAATTAAATCACCAGCATTTTCTCAGAACTTTTCTTTTCATTTAATTTCTAGTCCCTGAATCCGAGCTCATATCTGACATGACAAATGTTTGACATGAGATTAGTTTATTAATCTATGTACATAATTAAAAATATTACTAGTACTAGTTTATTAATCTAGTACTCCCTCCGTCCCTATTTAGTTGTCCATTTTAGAAATGACACACATATTAAAGCAACAATTAGCATAGTGAAGTTATAATTTTGCCCTTATTAATTATGATTACAAAATAAATTTATTCAAGATAACTAATCAATGTTGGGAGAAGTTTAAATTTTCAAGAAGTTTAAATGAGGGTATAATAGGAAAAAAAAATTGTCCTTTCTTGATTTGTCAAAATTGACAAGTAAATAGGGACATCTAAAAGAGGAAATATGGACAAGTAAATAGGGACGGAGGGAGTACAATTTAAGTATCTTTCTTTCTAATTCGATTTGCTTCAGTCAAATAATTAATTCTAGGGTTTAAATGAAGAACAAAACTACTATTGACTTGGCACATCCTTAAGAAACAATAAATAATAGGGGTAATATTACTATATTATCCTTTGACTTTAGCAAATTTAATGTTTTTAGAAATGTGTTAGATGATAAATAGTATTTAATAGCAAGGGTAAAATAAACACAAAAAGTAAATTATCTCTTGATTTTCAAAACTAGATAAGTATTATTGGACAACTATCATAGTATAGTAGACAACTATTGTTGAAGAGTAATAAAAAGTCATTGCGTGCAGACAAACTAAAAGAACATAACTTGAATATAGCTAGGGCGCAGGATACTTATATAGATAATTAATTAATATCTTGTTAATGTTAATAACATGTTTATTTTATTTCGAAAATTAGTTAGTGTAATACCCACAACTTAAGACTAATATATATTATCACAAAAAGTGCAAATTAATTAATATCACTACTAGCTTGTTATGCAATGCTTGTGTTGAACCAAACGTTGTGGAATACTACAATATTGTGTCTGAAGTTTTATATGGTAAATTTTGAGAAAATAGCCAAAAAAATCCTCAACCTATTAGCCAATTCTCAACTGCACACTTATTCTATACGGGGTTCTATTATCTTCCTGAATTATTTAAATATGGAATAATCACCTCCCTAAAAAGGCATAACCAATTTTATGTCAAAGCTGTGCAGCACACGCGATGAATCACTGTACATTCATTTTTTTATTCTTTTTCTTTTTTTTCCTAGTAAATTATAATCCTAATCAAAATAATAATTTAATAATCTCATGTAAAATTATATAAAGTATCCATTTTTATCAAACCTAGAAATTGAAATTTACAAAAAATGCTTTCAAATAGAGATTGTTTTTCCAAAATACTAATGATTTCTTTAGAGAATAATAAGAGAAAATGATGAAAAAATCTCTACACCAAATTAAAGAAGAAGAACAACTCCATAGCTAGTCTACATAAACTTTCAATTTGAAATCCAACCCAAAAACAAAATTTCACAAATAAGTATTCACAAATGTGGGAGTGAAAAACAAATTTGGTAAGAATGAAATTAGAAAGTGAAATTTCAAATTAACCATTGTTGGTTCATTGTGATTTGACTTCTTTTTATTTATTTATTTTGTTGAAATTATGAGGGATTTAAGAAAAAACTTGAACTCCATTTTTGAGCTTCATATATGAAAGTTTCTTATGAGTTAGGTGATTGACGTTGTAACTAAAAACGGTTGATGTATGATTAACTAAGCATAAATCAGTAGCTATAAACTGATTTGGAGCTCCTAGAGACGAAATATAGAAGACCACCATTGAAGGACTTTGAGAAAAACTTGAAGAAATCATGAATGAGTATAACAATTTTGTGATATAAAAAAAAGGGAAAGAATAAAAAAAAAATGAATTACTTATATAATCTCCAATGAGATACTGCCACATGGATTATTTAGTTCAATTTTAGTCATTTTGTTGAACCCTTACGCGCCTACAAGAGGTGTATTCACCTTCTTGGATAGGTCAGCGTTTAAAGGTCACAAAATATCGAAAATAAAAAGTTCAGGAGGTAATAGGACCCCGTGAAGTATAAGTGTGTAATTGAGAATTGACTAATAGGTTAGGGGGCATTTGACTATTTTCTCGTAAATTTTAGACCCAAATTAATGGCCAAACATTACTATTTTTGCTTGATGATTGAAATTCAGATGACACTCAAAAAACTTCAATTTTATTTTGTTGGCTAATTTTTTTTCTTTTTCTTTTAAAAGTTTTATTTCTACTTGAGAATATATAGATAGCTTTAGCCTTTAGAGATTTATTTCCTAGTTCAACTAGATAAAGTAGGGATTTTACATGTCCACACGTTCAGTTCTTCATCGTTCAACATCTTTTCCACGTGAATAATGCAAACTTATAATCAACTCTAAATTACAATATACAAATATACAAGAGAAATTCAAGAAAGAAAGGAGGAAAAGGGTCTATAATGCACATTAATTTATAACGGAGTTTTCAATACACTTACAATTATAGTGAACCTCAAGCGGCTTTAATTGATATTTCATGGTGCTCTAACCAATAGTTTGAGGCTTTTTAGAAGTTGAGTTGGATTCCATGATAGTGGTTAAAATGATCAATGGAATTTGTAAGCCTCCTTGGAGGATTCTAGCTAGATATCATTGATGAAATAAAACTCTTAATTAAACACAAAATTATAACAGCTAAACACTATTATAGAGAAGCAAATGAAGTGACGGATACTCTAGCAAAATATGTCACTCAAATTCATGTCCTGAAGATTTTTTTTGCAAGAAGTTGATCTTCCAGAAGTGGCTAAAGGTCTTCTTAAGATGAATAAATTGGATTTTTCCACTTTTTGAAGAAGAGACAAGAAGATTAATACCTGACAATTTGATCCACTTTGAATACTTTTCTTTATATGCATTAATAATTGTAGTTTGACTACATTAGTATAGTTGTTTCGTAAAGATCTATGGATCAGAATCTTAATAGGATAGGATCTTTCTTGTTCGAAGATATAGAAAAGGAGGTTAGGCTCTATGTCCCCTCCATTTGGTTGTTAAAATTATTTAAAATAAATTACTTATATAAAAGGATTTCAATGCAAAACTAATTATTCAGATTAATCTCCACATTCATAATATCACAACCATCATCATCACCACAACAACAACGTTGATATGTACCACAACCACAATGCGGATATTGCCGCCGCTGCATTGCCGGCAACTGCAGCTCCTCTAGCGTCGACGAAAACAATTTTTTTTTGATTGACTTGACCATGAATAAGAGTATCATGAATTATTCTACTGAGCTCATATTAGGCCTAGTGTATACTAGCTTGTACTTGAGATAATTTTGTTAATCTATGATTTAATTGTACCTCATTTCATTCCAAGTCAACAGAAAGAAAAGGACAATTTATAAATCTTTTTGGTATTTTAATCAAATTGATGTGGGCATCTATTATTAGAATATTATTTTGAAATTGATTGAGTACATGTACGAAAAAGTACTATATGTTCCTACAAATTCTTTCAACGAAAAAAAAAAGAAATAAAACATTACATGGGTGATCATGGAGAGCCTGTTTGGTCAAACTTCTTAGAGGTCAATAGCACTTTTTTATGGCTAAATTGTCAGTTCTTCATCGTCCAATACCCTTTTACACAGGATAAAATTCACAAATTATTAGTAGTATATTTTTTCTCGCAAGTTTTGCTTCTATTTGGAAATATAGTTTTAGCCTTGTGAGATTTTAGTTCCTAGTTGGTAGATATTTGTATAAGTTAATCATTGTGATATCAAAATCATTATTCACTAAACCTTTTAAAGAAAATTAAATAAAATTAACCTCTTTCTTAGGAGCTTTTACATTTTACTTTCTGACTCGAACTCACATCTATATATAGGTTATTTTGTTTTCTCTTAAATTTTTTTATCTCAAACAATAAGGCAAATCCAAGAACGGAGACTTGGCATTACCTTCGAATACAACACACGAATAATCCTTCACAGAAAAAAGAAGGAAGGAGATGCTAACATTGACAATTCAACCCTCACAAAAGGCCTAAAACCCACAATCTATAGGTTTGTGGTGAAATATGCCTAGTACTTACCATCTAAGCAATACCCTCTCGTCAGATTTACTACTTTAACATTCGAGGTTTGACCATTTATTTTGTGCACCCCCAACTCCTAAAAAAAAAAACAACCCTATTAATTTGCATTATCACGCACCCGAGCAATCTCCTTTCGTCTTAATAAAAAGTATAAATCACTTTAAATTATCCGCCACATCCACCGCAACCACCACAACCGTCACCATCACCACCACCGTCACCAGAACTTTCCTTTTCGTTGTTTCAGTTGAAAACATCCAAGCTCATATTTGACCTAGTAAATGCTACTCCCTCCGTCCATTTTTATATGTCATTTCTTTTTATAAATAGTTGATCCATAATATTTGTCATTTCATAAAGTCAACGCATAAATTATCATATTGTTCCTTTTTTATCCTTGTGAGTAAGCCTTGAAAATATACATTTGACCAACTTAGAAAAGGTAAGTAAATGATTCATGTTCATTGGTTAAATTAATTAATCAAAATAAATTAATTCATATTCATTGATTGAAAATTTGAGTTCCAAAAAAATTAAATAAGGATAAAAGGGTAAAATTATTTTATTTCTTCATGCAAGTGCAAAGTAAAAAGATGACATATAAAAAGAGACGGAGGAAGTAATAAGATTAATTAGTTTAATTTACATACCGGATCAAAGATTAGTTTATTAATGAATAAATTTAAGTAGCTAGCTTTCTTCCCAATTCGATTGCGTGTCAGCGAAATAATTAATCTAATTGGTGATGGAATACCAAATGTAGAATATGTAATCTCTGGGTCAATGTTGTCTTGATTTAATGTTACTGCTTAAATTTTTAAGTCAATATTATGGATTAACATAATCAAAAGGATTACGTTGCAGACAAACAAAAAGAATGTCACATGAATAGATAGTAATTAAATAAGTTAAATAATTTGGATTACAACATTATTACATGGATATAAGCTAATCTTTTTTCCTTTTTCATTTAAGTTCTACTTCTTTTGGTACTATAGCTTAAGTCTTGAGGCTTTGTGAAAATCCGATTTTTTATGGGATATTCGAGATGTCTAGAGAAATATGTGTCTTTTTTTATAAACGTAATCTACAATTCAGGATAAAGTAGCCTCCAGAAAATCTCAACGGGGTCTTAGGGTTTGAAAAACTTTGTATTTAATTTGTATTAAAATATTTATTAAATATAAACAAAGTATATTACTTCAATAATTTTTATATATACTCAAAGTTGTAATTAATCATATCACCAGCGCTTTCTCGGAACTTTTCTAATTCATTTTTTTTTTTAATTCCTTAATCCAAGCTCATATTTGACATGGCAAAATTATTAGTTTATTAATCTACAATTTTAGTACCATTCTTTCCAATTCGATTTGCATGTCAGCCAAACAAACCTAAAAATAGAAAATGTAATCTTGATTTAATGCTACAGCTTGAATTTTTAAGTCAATATTATGGTTGACCTTCTTTTAGGGTTTAAATAACAAAATTATCATAATAAAAAAGGATTACGTGCTGACAAACTAATTTAAAAACCATCACCCTGAGTATAGCAGGTACTAATATAAATTAAATTCTTGCGGATGTGAATAACATGTGTAATTGCCACAATTAGATTCAATATTACCACAAAAGAAGTGTAAATCAATTAATATCAGACTATATCAAAAATGATCTTTAACGACAATTAATTGATGATAATAGATAAATTATTGTTAAATATATATTTTTAAAGGCAATTAACACTCTTTGTAAACAATGGTGAATCCATAAATTTTATATCATGGGTGCTCAAATTTTTTTATCTCAGAAATTGCTACATTAAATGAGTGCTCAATTAATACATTTCAATGGAATACTAAATTTTATACATAAATAGCACTAATGTTTGTCACAAAAGGCAGTGGATGCTTAAGCACCCATATGCACAAGGTAGGACCGTCATGGATGGTAAATGTCCCTTAAGCCTATAACGACATTAAATCAAATGACAATTGACTAATACCAATAAAAATTTTAACTGTCTTTATTAATGTACATATATATTACTAAGACTTTTTTTGGGTTATAGTGTCACTACTAGCTTGTTATTCAATGCATATATATTGTGGATTTTTTATAGTCTATTGACATGATTAACTTGTCCCATTTTATAAACTTTTCTGCACGTATACTCACTCGATCAGGAAGTTTGACTTGTGTTTGAAGTTTAAAATACCCAAATTAGAAGTTTTATATAGGTGAAGTTTAAATATAAAATTTAATAAAACTTCAATATTTTTATCGAAATTTTATTATTTCTATCAGAAGTTCATGCTAAATTTCAACTTTATTTAAACGGCTAATTTTCTTTTTCCGGTTAAATTTTATTTCTCTACTTAAAAATAAAGCTTTAGCCGTGAGAGATTTATTTCCTATTCAACCAAATAAACTAGAAATTTTACATCGTCCTAACACCTTTTCCACATGATACTATTTTTCAGCCACACAAATTAGATAATTCCATAAATAAAATTTCATGATAAATAGCATAAAAAATAATAAAAAAGGAAAAACCTACTATCCACATTAATTTATACTCCATATACAAATACAAAACAGCGAGTAAAAAAAATTCAAAATTAATGGTTTCAAAACTACAAATTAATTCAAATTAACCGCCACATCCACCACAACCACCGCAACCAAAATCAAAATCAAACCAACTTAATCGGTTTTAAAATTATCAAAACCAAACCAACTTAATCGGTTTTAAAATTATCAAAACCAAACCAAACCAAATATAATATACATTTATCGGTTTGGTAGTTTTCGGTTTTGGTGTGGTTTGGTTCGGTTATTCGGTTATTAACCATACATAAAAATAAAAGAAACAATTCGTTCAAAACGTGAAAAAAGTGACAACAATCCATTCAAACGAAAAAATAGTTAGAATGACTGGCATTACAGAACTTTGGATTATTGAATTTACTGAATAAAACTTCAAAATTCACTATGTTGGCATAGAAGGAAGAGTCAATGACATTTTCAGTCCCACAATGAATTTCATAGACACTCATATACATGAAACCAATAAGAAAAATGTTCTCACCTTGGACATTTTTTCTTTCATAAGTAAATTATAAATAAATTTTGTTGAAACATATATAAAATCTTTAAAATTGTTTATGAATATAATATATTATGTATGTATAATAATAAAATTTATGTATATAATTTGTTGGTTCAGTTCGGTTATTTCTTCGATTTTTTTCGAACAAAATCATAACCAAACCAATAACTATCGGTTCTTAACAATCTAAAACCAAACCAAACCAAAACCCAAATTAAATCGGTTTGGTTTGATTTTCCGGTTTGGATCGGTTTTTATCCAAACCATGAACACCCCTAATCAGCATAAGAAAATTATTTACACCATAAAGTTACATTTTAAGAAGGTTTATATGTAAATATCATTCAAATATAACCTAATACCGTAAACAAAAAAACAGATACACACTAATATGTGTATAATTAACCTCAATCTTCAATACACAATAAATCATGTAACAAAAAAGAGAGGAAAGAAGAAAAGATTAACGGTGAGAAATATTGCACATATAATATGGATTGGAAGAAATTTAAAACTTCGATCAATCGAATGCATCGATCATGCATGTGATACTTTCTCATGCACTCTCATAGTCACCACCGCGGAAACTACTCCCACCATCTCCGCTATAGTTATCGTCTCCACCATCTTCCTCTCCTCCATTAGCACTAGCATATCCATCATCACCATCATCATCATTCTCATAGCCACCATCAACGGTTGGTGTACTATCAACCCCGTTAACACTATCATTAATGGAGTTATTCTCACCATTCCCATAATAAATATCTTCATCATGACTAATATATCCACTATCAGCACCACCACCACCATCATCATCATCATCATTTGTATAGACGACTTTAGTGGTGGACTCTCCTAAAGCAATTGTATGCGTTGCACTTTTTTGTGTGTACGTATAATATTTATCATCATCTTCAACATCAGATAAATCAGGATCTAACGGAGGGGAATGAGCAAAGCTCCAATCGCGCCTTATACTTCGATCTTTTTCGAAGCCTCCGCTACATAAACAAGAGAAAAGGGATGTCATGTTGAGTTCTAATTAATTGTTCGTATGAAGAAGGATGTATGACATTATTAAGTAGCACCAAGTAGGATTAAAATAATATTGGAACTTATCAAGTTGTTTAATTAAAATACTAATAAATGTGCAAATAATGGGGAGATTTTTTATTTTTATTTGGTAAACTAGTTAAGCCCCACGGAGTTTGTTTATAATTTTATGATTTATATAAAATTAGAGTGGTTGAAAGCTGAAAACTACTTCAGTAGAAAATAATATAATACCGAAGCTGGAAAATTTTATCCTATAGTCAACAAAAATAATATTAGTAAAATATATTGGCATATATATATCACATTAAATAAGTTCAACCACATTTTATCAGCAACTTGTCACCAATTTTTTGTCACATGATTTGGCATATGCTTCTTGGATATACTACAATTAAAGAATTTTAACTTATATGTATTTTGTAGTGTCAGCAATATATTTTATATCTTCATATTATGAAAAAATATTTATGTGTAATTTTTTACGTAAAAATGAGATTTATATATAATATTGAAAATAAAACAGGTTATTAGCTGCTATAACATGTATGTAAATGTCTTATAAATATAAAATATCATTATATTATATTGGCGGATATTAATTTTAATTAATTCAATAATCAAATAGAGGAGTACTAATTCTTTTATGGGGAAATAAGAAGAAGAAATTCAATTATAACATTTTGTACAAATCACATATCTAATTACATAAATTCTCACCAAAATAACATAATAAAATAGGGAAAAAAAACTAGCCACATGCATGTGGCACGTAAACATTATCCTTACAATATTAGTTTAATAGCTACGATTTTAACCAAGTCAACTTCCTCCACCACCACCACCATTACCACCATCACCATCTATAGCTATGCTCGTCAAAGCTGCTGACATGGCAGCAGCGCCGGCCACGAAGCCAGCACCACCGCCACTCGCGTCATTGCCATTATAATTTCCTCCTCCTATTCCATCAGAACCATAAGTTTGACCAGAAATTGACGCTCTATTTCTTCGCCTCCCATTAATCCCCGCAGGACGCTGCTTGTTATTGTTGCCTTTTTTATAACAAAAAGTGAAGAAAATAATAGATACAACAAGCGCAAAAAGAAATAATATGATTGCTATAAAATACCCCTCCATTATTATGATACAAAAAACTTTGAAGAAATGAAAAAAATGGAGGCTTTGGATTTTAGAAGGTCCTTGAACTTAATTGCATGTGAGTTCAATTAAATTTAAGTTTCGTCCAACTTGGGTTCGTTGACTTTAGATGACAACTGGGCTAATTTTTCATTAATAATTAATCAGGTTTGCTTGATTAGTGTGTATTTATTTTCTTGATCGACTATATATAGCTAATAGGCATTGATACATTTGTTACAAGTTACTCCCCCGTTCACTTTTACTTATTCCTTGTTCCTAAAATAGATTTTTTATTTTTACTCGTCATTTTTGACGTATCAAGAAAAGACAATTATTTTTTGCTATATGTTTTACCCTCAGCATTCTCCAAATCATTTTTTAATGTCTAATACTAAACATCATTTAATAGGGATAGTAGGGTAAAATACCTATATAAATAATTATTTTCTTAATGAACATGCTAAGTCAAACTATGACAAGTAAAAATAAACGGAGAAAGTAATTCCATCTGCTTTAGAGTTTGTCCAACTCTTGATTAAACTAAACTACTACTCCTTCCTTCTAGTTGTCTCAAATTATTTGTCATTTTAAAAATTCAAGGCAAAATGAATTCCCCCCCTCCCCCGCCATTTTATCCATAGTAGATTTCATAAACAGAGGAAACATTTAATGGAGACACTATAATTTAGATAAATAAGGATAAATTAATCAAATATATCTCCTAATTAACATTTCTCAAGGGTCATATAAAGAAAAGACAGAGGGGGTTAAGTCTCTGGATACATATAGAGAACCCACCCAAATTACGTGATGGAATCACTTTGAATGAAGGATTTTTAATATCAGGATAGATTTCAATACAGAACATTTTGTTTTTTTTTTGGTTTCCACCCGGTGTCCGGAACCCACATTGGATCCCCAACTAAATCCAGATCGCGCACTGCAGGACCCATTCAGGGGTGGCGCTCCCAACATAATTTTCTTCATACCCGAAGCTCGAACCCGAGACCTCTTATTAAGGGTGGAGCACCATAATCCATGTTGGTGAATACAAAACATCATGTTACAAAAGTATAACCAGAACAAAACATCAAAACAAATACAGTAGGAATTCAACTACTGTAATGACTCTCTTGCTGTAACACTCACTTTATGTGCTTCACCTCCACGTACACAAGAGTCAATTCTCTCTTTCAACAATACACCCGAATGCAAAATCTATGTCGAGAAACCAATTTGCCTTGTCACAGAAATCGCAATTACTTTTACCTGCAAGTGGTTGTTTCAAGGATGCCTTAGTACGGCTGAGAAAGTCCTAACATATGTCCATCCACACACCTCAAAGCAGCAACCTACAAGGACCATATACAGTATGCGATAGGTCAGTTTCATCAACATAAATGCCGAATGCAGAACAAAATTCTGAATCGATGTGTAAATAACGAGCATAAACCAATGCCGGTCAACAATTTTGAAAGCAACCTCAAGAAATTTCGGTTACCTTTCCATGGATTTCATATTTGATGGGGCCATCCAACTCGGCACCTAAAGCCAATAGTTTGGTCACAGAATTGTTTATATCATCAACTGTAAAGGATAGGAGGGATGAGTATCCCTTCTGCACAACAATGTCACTGTAAAACTAAAGTTAGCAGCTAACCAGTTGTATGACGTTCAATAACAACAACAACAAAAAACAGAATCACAAACTGAAACAAGTAACCAATTGATATGAAATAATCAGTAGGCAAAGACAGACAATTGTCATAGTTTATGCCTAATTGAGATGCAGACTAAAACTTGAAGCAACTGCACGCAACATTGGGAAGGCTATTAAATCAAGCAACGATAAAAAATGCAGCTAAATACAAACCACAGAATACAGTAAGCGAATAATATCAAGCTAGGCTTACCATATATCCGAAAGCAAATAAAACAGAACTCTAGACTAAGCAGCATATCTAGGACTGTGAAGATGATGCAGTAACAGTTAAGGTTTATAACAACTCGACCTAATCATGACAAGTACAAATTCTTTCAAACAACAAATCATCCTTGTATGCACTGAGCCGGCCTTAGTACATATACTAGATGGCTCATAGTTGCACTAAAAGGGATAAAATGTTCTAACACTTCAGCTCATATGGATGTAGTTAAAATATACATTTTCCTAGACTTTCTGAACACTCGTTACAGCTCAAGAATCTGATCCAAGATGTATCTTCTGTTTGATAGTCCACAAGTATCCAGCTTAATATCAGATACTCTTAAAGGAGCTTGAGTGAGCTGCTTTGCATCACTGTCTACAACGCCTATAAACTTTATCCTGCCAGAGCTGCCCAATTTGTAATTCCTCAACAGTAGACCAGCATAATATCAGATTGGTAATATGACACTCCGGAAATCTACAATGCCTAATTTTATTATTCCTCCTCACAAACAAATTTCGTACCAGAATTGTTCATTCCTTGATCTAAAACTAGCATAGCACATGTAACTCACTATGATGTAAAATAAAAAAGAGGATTTTCTATAATCCAATTTACTCTAACTACGGGAATAATTCATTTTTCTTAAAGTATATTAACCAATAATCTTAAAAGGCAAGCCACTGGCAAAATTATTAGCTTACAAGAGAAGGATCAAATACTCCTGATGTCCCAGGAAGTTTGCTATTTTTTAATTGAATATATTCCAAGGAGGTACACTATAGTAGCTTAACGAAGTTTTGTTCCTTCTATAGGTTGAAGATGTACATAAGCTCAGAAAAGACTCTTGAGACATATGTTCTTTATTTCCACCAAAACATCTACAATTTCTCTAACGCCAAATACTCCAAAATACGCATATAGAAACTGCTTCCCAAAGCTGCATTCAACTCTTAGCAATGAACTGTCCATTCCAATTCAAACTAAGAGAGCTTTTGACCAAAATTTTAAAATGTATATATTTTTACCATTTTGATATGAGGAGAAATGCAAATTATAATTCTCGAAAACCACTCTTTCAATACAGGACACTAAATCAACACAAACCAAAAGGAAGACATCATCACATGTTTATCATCAATCAGCTGCTTTTTTTTCCTCCCTAGGAACTCCCACCCTTTATACTCCCTTGGTGACTCGAACTTACAACATTCGGGTTGGAAGTGAGGGTGCCTACCATCCGAGCAACTCTCTCTTGTTAGGAGAGAAACACTAAAATATCCTGAAATTCTTAAATGCCACTAACTTTTAAATCCAAACACATTAAACTACCCAGCACCAAAACCCAAATTAAGAACTTCAACACATCTTTCTGAACAATAACATTTTAGATGAATATTCAAGAACAATGTAGGCAAGGGAAGAAACACATTTAATAAGCAAAAATCTTGAAAATCCAAAAAAAAAAAAAAAAACCAAATTTCAAATATAACCACACCAAATTACCAAACCCCAGAACCCAAAATGTGAACTTTAACACATCTTGATCCACAATCAACTATTTAGATGATGATTCAAAAAATTTGCGAAAAGAGAGAAAAGTACCTTGATGAATGCATGAGAGCAAGTTTGAGAGGCCAAGATTGGAGCTCTGCCCATCTATGAGTACAGACATTAATAGAGAAATCCAAACCCTCTGAGTAAAATCTTGCTGCTTTTGGTACATCCTTGTGTAGCTGTAGTACTATTGGAATTAGTTAACTGATGAGGTAGTTAGCTAGTAGTGTTAGTTAGATGATTAAATTCTGTTAGGATCTGTAACTAACAAAATGATGAGCTGGATATAATTGTATAGGAACTCTAGTATAAATACTAAGCTTGCATTGATTCACAATTTTTACACTGA